AAAGAGGGGGTAACTAGTTGTCTTAAAATGTTATCAAGTTTACCATAAGTTTGTTTTTACTGATGATGATACGAAAATAAATAGTTGGCTTAAAGTGTTAGGATTGTTATTTTAGCAACAAGAAGAGTTAATTCTGAAGAGTTTTTGTTGAAGTTTGTAGACTCTTCATCAATGGAAGATTTTTTAAAAACCTATTAGACAAGCACTTCTTGCAAGGTCCAGTGTGGATGGAACAGTGGGCTGGATGGGATTTTCTACTTTAAAACATTCATACCCCTTATCAGGAAACCAGTGCTTTAAAAGTTTCAAGCAAAAGGAATTACTGCCTTTTCAACATTATTTTGCAGCAGTTCTAGTTGTGTGGTGTAATCTTACTTGGTTAAAAGCTCTGTAATGTCGTAGGAGAATGAAGCATCTTTGTTCTGTAGCTCTAAAATACAGTAATTCACGAAGACAGCGTGGACCTTATGTGATTAGCACAGGGTTGAGAGTTCTGAGTCTCTGTTCTCATCCTGGATCAGTGGTTTATTACTTGGCCTCAGACATGTTGCTGCCTTCTTCGCCCCGTCTGTAAAGTCAGGATACTAATGATGGTGACAGTGACGTATGTCTTCTAATAAAGAGTAGTTTTTGAACAGTGAAGTAAAGTCTGAATAACGGCTTAAACATGATAAATTACTACAAAAAATAGTGATTCAGAATGTGATATTCATTATATTCATGAGAAAGATTTATTCCATGGTATAAGACAACCTTATAAGGACATTTTTCTGAATGTAGCATAGCACTTAATTGTGGAAGACTTTCCGTTGCACAGCAGATAGAACGTCTGCTGTGATCATGCAGATTATTATTTACAAGCTGAATCTGGTTCTGGGTGCTCACAAGATAGAAACTATCCATATGTTTAGGCTTTGTGAATTTCTATGTTACTGTGAGTGCTAACATATTATAGCACAGGATTTAAAAAATTCTAATACAAACACTCCAGCACCATATGCACATGTATACAAATGCACATTTGCAAACTTTCTGTCCTTTATTCCTGCTCGTCTCCTCCTTGCGTGTATATGTATATATGTATGTGTAGATGTATATACGTATACATACACACACACTACTTTCCTCATTCCTGAAGTTTAGGGAGTATTTGTCAAATGCTTTTATCGTATAGCAAACTTCCATGTAAAATGTTTATCTTCATGTTTGCTGAGTGCTGTTGTCTGTCTTAATCACTGACTTGAATTTTGTTGTTTTCTTGTATTTACAGTGATTTTTAACTATAACTGAGTATTTTATGTGGGTATATTTTATGTATGACTTGAGCCCATTGGGACATTTAGTGAAGGCTTTTATGTACCAGTAGATGAGAACACTGCATGCTTCCTTGTCAGTATTCTTGCTTTGATGTGTTAGCTTAAGAGAACTTTTTAGAAGACACATAGGATGTGGATGGGACCAAGCCAGACTACAATTGAAATGCTTGCATAATATTAGGCAAATTCCACAACTCTGGAGACTGCTAACAAAGTGTCTGGATCTCAGTTGCATAGTTTTGGATAAACTGTGATTAATGCCAATAGACTGGCTGATTGTTGGTTTGGTTTGGTTTCTTTCCAGAGGCTTCTCTGGTATTCCAATGCATAATTTTCTCAAAAATCAGCATAAGGTGGATTCATGAGGTTTTTGATGCCTCTGTTGGAAATCAAATTATTTCTAATTTTGAAAACACTGACATATACGTTTAGTTTTTAAATTTGAAGTTATGTCACTGAAATCAGATTATCTATTTGTTTGCAGTCAGTTCAACACATGCTGCAGTCTGGAAATGGATCTATGTTGTCTGTTTCTTTTCAGTTCATTTTATTTGACATTACATTATGGCAGTGAAATATTGACCAAATTTTCTTTCACTTGATAAAAAGAAAAGATTTACTTAATTTTATTTGAGTCTTGCCTTGTTTACAAAGCAAGCAAAAAACCGCAGTTCTATGCTTTCTTTTTTCTTTCTTCAAATCATCCCTGCCTGTCCTGCTCTTCTTTTCAGACAGGGCTAGTTTCAAATACTGCCTTCGTTGCGTTTTGTCCAGGCTCCAGTTAACAAAAGATGCCCTCCAGCAGTGTGCACTACTTCCCCTGGTGTGGCCAGTTCTTACTGGAGCATGACTACAGAAGTAATCCTGAACCTTAAACCTTTGGGGTTTTGATGTTTTTCATTAAAAACATTTTGGAATTGTCTGTTAATCTTTGGTATTTAATTAGTACTCTATTTGTACTGTCAAATTATCTCAAAGCTATTTTTAATACTTTTAAAAAATATATATATTACTTTTGTTTCTCATTCTATTTTAAACCTCCCACCACTTGTCAGCCTAGTTGGATTAGATGACCTTTAAAGGCTCCTTCCAACCCAAAACATTCTATGATTCTATAATGCCACAAACATATATATAAATCTAAGCTGATTATTTCTCATTTGAGAGAGGTTCCTTGACAGCCCTATTAATCAAGAATGCTTTCTTCGGTTGACTAGATGCATATCATATATCAACAGTTATTTGTTTCATTATAATGTTTCGTAATGTTTCATAAACCACTATCTTTTTCAGTGTGTGTGATTCCCATTAATCACACGCTTTCGTTCACTGTGTAGTTTCTATTTTTTGAAGCATTGTATTCATGTATACTTTGTTTACATTCTCAATATATTTATTCTGTATTTTTTTAGTTTCCAGCAGTCAATCATCCACAGTCTTTAGAGAGAAGATACTTGGGAATTTTAAGTGGCGTATTGCTTGATCTTATGAAGGTAGGAAAATGTATTTTATTTTCTGTCTGTAATATGT